GACCCGGAGGGGTAGGAAGTAAATGCTGGACTCGATCGTCCTTCTCTTTCGGCCTTTCTGTGCGGACCTGACGCTGCGGGGGAGCTGTCACTCAGCACCGGGATTTAGCATTGATCCAGTCTGCAGCTGAGGGGCCACCTCTCACCTCCCGCTGCTGCTAGCCTCTGCCTAGGGGCTGGAACAATTGTTGGTTTTGCTTGTTGTTTTGCTTTTGTTTTTGTTTTAGTTTTTAATCAGAGCCAGACTGCAATTAGCATCTTATTTGTTCAGGCTCGGAACAGGCTTTGTCAGGACCGCTGTGCGGGCTCCCGAGGTCAGGCTTCCTGCACTGCTCTCTGCATGGCGATGGGACAATAGTGCGGGTTCTAAACTTTTGATTCGTTCTGCCTTCTTAATGCATTTATTCCTTGTCAAGTTTCCCCTCGTAACAAGTTTGGGTAAGTGATGGGAAGAAATGAGGAAAAGCTACCGCTGTTGTCCATACAGAACGGGGGAAAAGAGGATAAATTTCTACACTCCTCCACCGTTTTATTTACGTATTGTTTATTTTTGCCTCCCTGTACAGACGTCTAAAGAAGTATCTGGTAGGCTTCAGATGCAGGCTGCAACTGGTCATTCGCCTTCTAGTTTTGTCTCTTCTTGTAGACGCGGTTGGTGGCTTGCAAAACAAGTGTTTGAATAGTGTCGTGATGTGGTGGGAGGGGACATAACGGGCAATGCTTTGGAGCAGCCAGCCTTCCTAAGGGTGAGCTGCCTGAGGGGCAGGTGAAGTTGAATGAAGCAATTTTCCATCATTTGCTCTACTCTCTCATTTGCATTTTTTATTCCTCTTCTTGTTCCTGTCCCCTGGGGCAATTGCACAGCCAAGAACACGGTTTTCAAAGGGGGGCTATCATGAGAACAGGAAGGGGCTGATGATCATTTATGAACCAGAATTGTTTGAAATATTAAAATTCACTCTTTGGCTCTTTACATCTTAATACATATTAATAGAATGACCCTCCTCAAGACTTTCTCTTTTAGGACAAGAATTGAAGGAACACCCTGTAAGGGAAACAGTTAATCACTCTCCAGCAGGCTTCCTCTATGTTCCCAGGAACAAATCACCAGGGAGAGCAGCCTGGGTGGCATTTTGGTTTTGTGTCATTTTTAGTTCATCACAATGCTTTTATTCATTTAAGGGAATGTGAAAAGAAAATGGGTCTTATATGTCAAATGAGAATCCAAACCTCAGAGTATATAGTGAACACTTTCTTGAAGAAAAAAAAAAAAAACAAA